TAGGACGGACAGTAGACGAATACAGTCGCGTCGGTTGTTCAACTTGACGGTCCTCCAGTAATGTGATCGCGCTGTCCAGCTCCATGTACGGCAGACCATATTGCATGACTTCAGAGTCTCACGGTCATCATGGAGCTGATCCACGACGCGTTCCTGCACTTCAATCGGTAGTTCCGGAGGGGCCATTCTATATGCTTGTAAGTGGGTTAGCTGATCTATTGACAATGCAAGACTCACTTCAGACAACTTGAACGTATCTAGCGAAGTAGCTATAAGCTACCGATGCTGGTACTTGTCTCGACAACTAGGTCAATAGCACCCAACTGCACGTCGCGATGTACAACAGTATTGGTGATATGTGGGCGGGCTTGGTGTCAATGCCAGTGCCAATCGTGATTCGTAACACCAATTAGCTCGAGCGCGTCGTTACCCGGCGGCCGGGCTCTCGGGATGGCGGAAAAGTTGATGTGCGGGTCGTCGACGCGTGCGGGTGAGGGGATGTTTTCCCTACGCAGATGAGCGCAGACTCGGAGGAGATGATTGCAGGAGGAGACTCAGAGAGGCGATCCTTGATCGGTCCGATCGACTCCTCCTTCCACGTGCCTGCGACTCGGAGGGCAGATAGCCCGAGGTGCACTACTACTGTAAGTCTGGACATCAGTGAGCGACAAACCTTGAACATACTGAGCCATGACCATGGTGTCTCTGTTTTGTGCTACTACTAATCACTCTCTCAACCTGATTTCCAGTCCTGCAAGGGCGCGCCAGTCGACATCTTCAATGATCGTGGCAATTGTTCGGACGAGCATAGTTCTGAATGTCCGAGGATACTTGCATGCAGCTTGGGATAATATGAAGGTATACGGCCCGCTCGAGCACTTGGTCATACAAGGGACATGATGGGGAGAGGCCTAGTCAATGTATACAGCGTCCCCAAATTATCTGTCGTGGATCGTTCGTCAACACAATCCTAAGTACACAATATCACAAGAGATCGAGCCGGAGACTTTTACAGACTATACAAGAGGACTAGATTACACCGTTCAAGAAAGATATCAGCGACAAGATGTGTCCGAAGCCTTAAGTCTAGATACAGCTCTTGGTCACCAGTCAAGCTTCAAGTACGACGCGCTTTGACACTATAGGTATCCACCCATCCGTGAAAAGTCCGCCTTTGCTAGTGACGACGCGCCGATCGACAACTACACGCATTCCTATGGCGAGAACTGAAGCAATTCGTACCCTCAGAGGATCGATTGCATCGGGGATGCCAGTGGTGCCACACCCCGCATATGTACAGAAGTAGAATGTGACCGTCATCGTCAGGCATTTGCGATGCAAAGCGATCAATGCATCGCTCAGAGCCGGCCAATCGAAGAACTCCCGGAGAAAGTGTTGTTCGGAGGAATAGAAGTGGAAGTCCACAGTGCGCAATTCCGTAGAGGTAATCCTCGACAGGAACAATGGGACGTGGGGCCAATGATCTCGGGAGGAGAGACGGAAGGTGAGTGAGAGGGACTTCAGACGACAATGATTAGCCAAGTCGAGATGTTCCAGCCACACTGAAACATAATCACAGTCTAGTCAGAGATCTGACATTCAGAGTGCCACAAAACTGCCACTTACCGTCACTGGACCTGAAGGCAAACTCGAGGTGCTCCAATGTTGCTTCTGCTCTGCGGAACATCGGCACCAGCACAGGCAGAAAGTCGTCCCATCCAGCTACCATTCCCTCATCCGTCCATCCCAATCTCTTGAGCCGTAAGTCAAATGGGGGAACCGTTAGCGCCGCCAGTAGCTCGGACAGCGCTTCTAGCCGTGTGACGAAGTTGTCTCCCATGATATCTTGTATAGTGATACATCCCTGATGACGCCTTGCGACAAAGTCCTGGATGGCGGTTCTCTCGAGAGGCCACGGTTCTACCCGCCGGTGGTCACTAATGTTATGCGCGTGCAGGGAAGAGACTGTTGGGAAGGCCCCGAGGAACTCCAAAAGTTCGCTAGTGCTTCTGAGCTCCAAATAGTTGTAGTGAATCGCTTTGAGGCGGGGGAAGACGAGAATCGAGGATATAGCATCTTGCAAATTGAAAGCCTCGTCATCGGACCATAAGTATTCCATGAACGCGGTTATATTGAAGTGCTTGACATAGAGAACCTCGACCACAGGAAGGCGGCGCGAGATGCTGCGCAACAATTCGTAGGTCATCTCTGTGTGCTCCTGGTAGTAAGAATCCCCCATCGGCAGCTGAAGCTCCCGCACTCCGGATGCAACACCGGTGCCGAGCTGATCAGATTCCTCTAGAAGAGACAGGAAACGGATGGCATCGTGTTCTGTGTTCAACACGATGGTCCAGAGAAGGTGCAATCGCGTCGTATGAGTCCATGCGCGACAGATGAAGCTGCAAGACTTCAAACTTTTGAGGTCGCCGTGAAGGTGGTCCAGGGCACGTTCCTGGACCTCCAAGGGTAGCTCCGACGGTGCCATGTCGTGTGTCCTAGTAGACGGGCTATCATTCGTCAGAAACACATAGAAAGGTCAATAAAGCATCCATTCAAAACTCACCTCAAGTATGCACACTATGCAGACTGCGTCCGGTTGGCTACAAGCTGAGGGCGACTCAATGAACAGCGTACAGCGTGAACTAGCTCTACAACGTACAATACTGTATCCGCTTGCGCAGCGACACAGAGAAGTACCGTAGCTTTGACCTGATTGCGCCCGACGATTTTGGTTTGGAGATCGACGACGACGCACGTCGCGCGTCTCGCGGCGATTGCGTGGCGCCACTTACGCGCTCGCACGTGATCGCGAAGCGCTACTTACCCCGACGTCTGACGGTGGGACGACTCGCGACTGCAAGAGTCCGACCCAGTCTACTTACTAACTGTATGCCATCAGTCGCCGCATCAGCCTTTGCTAAGTGCACTAGGCTACTACAGCGAGAGCGCCGTGGCGCATGCCGGTTTGTATGAACATACTAGTCGGATATTTCTGTCAGTGGTATACTAATTGGAGCCTAACTTGCCAGTCCACTGGCAAGACTACATACCGCGCCCAGAACGTACTAGTGTCATGTATGTACGTCTATCATGTATGTCTGCTAACGACGGCGCTGACAAGACAAGTCCAGATGCCCATGCGACTTCTGGCGTCACATGCGGTAAGGTATGCTCAGCGATCGGAACTGCATACTTTTCCTCACATCGTTTCTGTCTCCAGCTCCGAGTCTCCACTGGGGAACTAGCGACGACCAAGCGCCAGTGCGAGAAAAAAGTCAGCGGAGCTTCCACCTGTGCCTGAAGTATGATATATCTGGACGCTGCGCGCCAGCAGAGAAGATACCTTGCTCACGATACTTTGTCTCCTTCGTCAGTTGATAGGCGACTCACGTTCCGAGGCAGAACCTCCCATCCCTGTGTCCGCGTGGCGTTGGGAGAATACGTGTAAGGTGGCTTGCAGTGTGGCCTTATTGAGTCCGTTCATTATCAGGAATGCATTGTTGTAACAGAATCCTAGAAGAACGTAGGCATCTCGTGTCGCTGATGGATCGTCGTTTTTCATAACCCGCATTGCTCTCACATGCGACTCGTAGAGGAATCGCCAGTCGGTGGGTTCGGACAGCACACTCGCTGCGTCGGCCGACGGTCAATGTAAGCAATCACCAAAGAGAAGGTCCAGTCTCTGTCATTGCAATACAGGTGAGTTCGTGACTTCCAGAGATATCTCACATAGTCCTGCCAAAGTCTGCAGCATTTTCCCTGCGCAGATATTTGATGACTCCTCCTCGGTAAGCCATCGCTTCGCCGTGTGAACTAACTGACAGAGGGAACGAAGCCGGGGACCTCGATGGAGGACGTTCGTCTCAGGTTACGAAATGCGCGCAGTGCGGGATCAACACGATGCTTTGATGAAGAAGCACCACGCATACGGATTGAACGAGGCTTCTTTCGAATCCCGGTGCCTTTCATGCCGAATCAAACCCAATCGCCTTGACCGACTGCACCTCGGACGACGCGCAACCCTGGATGCATACGACTGCTCCGCCTGACACTGTACGCACGACACAGTGAATGAATCTTCTGCTGACTGACTTGCTTACCCTGCAGCCACCCACGCCTCTGCGTGCTTGATGCCGAAGCCGGGTCACAGACACTAGTAATGTCATCTGCAAGGCGAGGAAGAGCTGACCAGCAAAATCTCTGTCGGGCTAGGCAGCCGAAGTAGTGCAGTCCGTGCGCTGCTGTATGTTTCTATCGGATACATGTGCCGCAGGGGTTCACCGCCGATACTCACGAAGGACCCTGACGAGAAGACCAGAGTACATATCCTATCAACCAGCTCACGGAGAAACACCTCGTTGGCGAACCGATGTGCCGGCGGCTGACGTGAAGCCGTCTTGCCTAGGTACGTCGCTGGCATGCAACTCTATACAATTTACTATCGCGCCTTTCAACTTGCAAACTCGCCGGCGTCCCACTGGTTGCCCCGTGACGGACGTAGGTCAAAAAACGCCCAGAAGGATCATCTAGAATGCGCAACGTGTATCTGGCCCTGGATAACACGCGACAATTGTTTGTATTGCAGTGGCTTTTGAGGGGCAATCCTCAGTGACGTGCCGGCAGAGCTTTGGTAACACAAGGAGTCTTCTTTGGCGCAGCGATGAAGCATCTTCGGACCAGCAGCGTAGGACATATCCAACAGAGTGCGAACGACAGCACAACTTCAAGATGTGCCAGCCGATACAATATTTTCTTCAGCATTTTTGATCGAACGCGGCGCGGCGCCCGGGTGATACGCAACCATAGAGTAGGGGCCATCGCCAGAGCGAGATCTTTCCCCAAGGTTGCGCTCAATGGGATCGCTGTCGCTGTGCTGTCGTAGAACACGTCCGGAGCCCGGACAACGCAGCCGGCAAGTTTGGATTTGCCGCCGCCGATGGGCGGAAGACCGTCCGAAGGCCTCATCTTGGTGTTACTTTGGTCGCAACTATGGCGGCGATGCCAGTTGCGAATTCATCATCGTGTCAGGGGGGATCTCTCACTGCAATTTACTGAGTGCGAGTGCACTTAGGTGACTAGGGAGCTCCGTGACTCTGGAAGGAGTCGATAATGTGATTACAGAATCCCCCGCGCAACAGCCGAAGGAGGCGCGTAAAGCGGTGCGTGGCGTGTAGTTTTCGGCGAGAATGAATGCGTACCAACTCCGATCCAGTGGGGGTAGGACCAATCGTCGATTGGATCCGCGCAAGAAGGTTCAAAATCACATCGGGGGAAGGTGCATCCCGACGCGTCGAGGTTTCAGCTCTACCGTACGTTACATTCTCCTCTAGGAGTACGAATCGAGCTACGGGCCGTAGATTCCATTCCTATGTAATTATTGATGTGTCCTTCTCAGCTTCGAAACACTTCTGTAAGGGGATAAAACTCGGAACTGGTCACGTATAGTTTTCATTTCACCTCGCCAATTCCGCAACGAGCTGACGAAGTGAGTACAGACCTAGACCGGCTGCTCGCATGGCGGAGGCGAAGTCGCGCTGAAGGCCGACAGTGTAGCTGCTGTAGCATGCACAGCACATTCATGTGGCTGTGAAGGTACACACAACAACGCGACCGTTCCGAGTCGGCGGAGGCGCCTTCTCTAATCGCGCTGATGCAAAGCCGCGGCGCTGATTTTACCATTGGGCACATGCTGTCAACGTGGACCGTGGGAGGCTCGGAAAGATCGCATCGCGGTGCTTACTAGGGGCAGATCGAACGAAGAAGATCCGCGAGGCGTTGGTTACCGACTCGAGCAGTACGTACCTTAGACCTCGGCGCCTCCGTGTCAGTCCGTGTCCTACTCCCGCTGCCGGCGGGAATCGTAATCCCGTTCTAGTCGAGGAGGCAATGATGAGAAGTCCACCAAATTGTTGGTGTCATGACTGGAGGCTATTCAGTATGCTCTGTCATTGCCAACAAAGCTCGGCTGAAGAAGATGAACGACCTCCAGACGTGTCGTGGTTCGTTGAATGTGCTTATACGAAGAGAGCGATCATAGGGCGACTACCGTTAGTCAAACACTTCGTCATGCTGTCCAGATTCTGCAGTGTTTTCCCCGGCGACTATGTGTGCCTCCGCATGCTGCGTCTCAGGCGCTGCTGACTATACCGAAATGACACTCACCTCGGGTGCGTATGTGAGATTGAATGGGACCTGCATGTCCGCCGATGAGTGCTAGACCCGGCGCGATGCACTCTTCGCATTGGAGATGGGTCACAGTGAATCCCTGACGCGTCTGCGCGTTTCAACCTCGCCAAGTGCCACCCAAAGGAGTGAAACAGGTCCATGCTGCCGTGGATCGCTGCAAACATGTGCATCGATGCTTACTGCGTCCACAGCGCTCGCGGTGACGCCGTTGCTACAACGGTCCGCGCGCGCCGCGGGCTTTGAGGCAATGAAGCCGTGAACATTCGCCCTGGGCTGACAACGAAATGCAGGTTAGCTAAAGAGTAAGCTATGCTTATTGGACGGACCCGAAAATGGTAGATGCGCCGAGGATGATTGCGCCGCATGAAGCTGAGCCTGACAGACACCGTCATGATTCGTTGACAGTGGTGACACGTGACCGTCGACTGGGCAGAACTGGCAATGGCATGGACAACTGGACGACAATTCGGACGAGCGAGCACGAAGGGGACGGAGAGCGCATCACGGCGACACTGAGTACTGAGCAGGCGAGGAGCGAGGAGCGCGAACATCGAGGCGGTTTCGACTCCGCGAGGAACAGGTCACGGGCGGCTGCTAACCCGCGTCGCGCCGCAATCGACGAGTCTCAGATCGCCCCTGCTGCGACGAGGCTGCATCACCTCCTGCAGGTTTGCTGGCGCGAAGACAATGCTGAGATGACCGCTTCTCTCAGCGTTTCGTATTGATTGGCCGCCAGTCGGATGGCTAGCTGCTGATATCGAAGACCTAGTCCTCCGACATCAAATCCGACTCGGACCTGCGACGAAATGACCACGGCGGCTGTGCAGCTCAAGTTACTCGAGTGTCTAGTGGGTTAGTCTTGGGTTAGTCGATCCGACTCACTCGGAGAGCGGGAAGAGGTACGGCGTGCCGTCGCTGTCACGCCCACGCTGGATTTCTGAATCGCCCGTGTCATGCCGTGACTGAAGCCAATCGAGCTGGGGAACAAGCCTTTCTGGACCTTCCGAGGTTGGGATGTCCTTCCGAAGGAGATTGCCACGGGCATTGCCCTGCGACCTCTCCCTGCCGCGGAACCAGTCCCAGAATCGGTGCGCCTGCTACGATCCGCGAGGTGCGCTCCTGCTCAATCTGGAAGTCCAATGACAGCTTCTCCGAGCGCCCGGGCTTTCGAATATATAGAGATCTACTCTATCTCTGGGCGCCATTCAACACCTCTGCAGACAGCGGCACGCAACCCGTCCTGCTCACGAACCATACGCGTCCTACTGCGCTGTGCTGTCTTCCATCATCTGCGTCGCGCGTAGGCATATTTCGTCGGCCATGGTGCCCCAAGACTGGACGCAACCCTCGCTCGGCATGCACCCTGGCGGACAACCCCAGCAACTACAACTCGAGAACGAGTACGAAGTAGATCCTGCTCAATTCCAGATGTTCCACGCAGGTCGTGACCCCCAGAGTAGTCGCCATGCAGGCTACACTAGCTACGGCCCCTCCTTTGGCAGCGGCCAGATGTCCTACGCCTCGCAAGAGCCATTGATGCAAGACGCGTTCTC